AGATCCAGAAGCCAGTGTATCTAATGGTCAGTGTGAGACACCAGATTTCAACTCCTCACATCCATAAGTGACACATTCAGGAGGCGGACTCAGTGAGGACCAAAGCCCCACTGAAACAAGGCCTGCACCATTAGCGTGTTTCCAGCAAAACAGTTCTTCCTTTATAGACATAGTGGGTCCTCACAGCCAATTGACCTGGAGGTCAATTCCTCCCAGTGTACCAATAGTAATCAAGGCTTAACTACACCAAGACTTTGCACTCAGCCCACAAAGGGGTGTACCAAGAGCAACCACCTCGAGTGATTGGGGAAGCTGAGCTACTGGCCTCTATAGGTCACCTATCACACAAAGCCACTCCATCAACACAGGGAGGCAGCCAAAACCAGTTTGGCTCAGTGGATAGAGTGTCGGTCTGTGGACTGAAAGGTCCCAGGTTCGATTTCAGTCAAGGGCATGTACATTGGTTGTGGGCGCATCCCTAGTAGGGGGTGGGTAGGAGGCAGCTGGTTGATGTTTCTCTCTCATTGAGGTCTCTATTCTTCTTTCTTCCTTTCTGTGGAAAATCAATAAAATATATTAAAAAAACACACACACACAGGGAGGCAACCAAAATGAGGAGACACAGAAGCATGTCACAAACAGGCGAGATAGAGGAAAGTAAACTACTGGACGACATAGAGTTCAGAATCACATTTATAAGACTACTCAAGAATCTTCTAAAAACTGCTGAGAAACTTGAAGATACCTTCAAGGACCTTAATTAAAATACCAAAAAAAAAAAAAAGGAAAAGGACCAGTCAGAAATTAAGCATACACTGTTTGAAATAAAGAATATACAAAAACTCAACTGTAGATCAACATACCGCAATAGTCAAACCAAATATCTGGAATATGAGGAAATAAAAAACTCCCAATCAGAGAGGCAGAAAGAAAGAAGAATCCAAAAGTGTCAGGATAGTGTAAGGAGCCTCTGGGATGGCTTTAAGTGTACCAACATCCCGATTTTTGGGGTGCCAGAAGAGAAGAGAGAGCAGGATATCAAAGGCCTATTGAAAGAAATAATGACAGAAAACTTTCCCTATCTGGTGAAAGAAATAGACTTACAAGTCCAGGAAGCACATAGAACCCCAAACAAAAGGAATCCAAAGAGGACCACACCAAGACACATCATAATTAAAATGCCAAAGGCAAAAGACAAAGAGAGAATCTTGAAAGCAGCAAGAGAAAAACAGTTAGTTACCTACAAGGGAATACCCATATGACTGTCAGCTGATTTCTTAACAGAAACTATGCAGGCCAGAAGGGAGTGGCAAGAAATATTCAAAGTGATGTATAGCAAGAACCTACGACCAAGATTACTCTACCCAGAAAAGCTACCATTCAGAATTTAAGGTCAGATAAAGAGCTTCACAGACAAGAAAAAAGCTAAAGGAGTTCATCACCACCAAACCAGGATTACATGAAATGCTGAAGTGTATTCTTAAAGAAGAGGAAGAAGGAGAAAAAGGTAAATGTAAAAACTATGAACAACAAAAAGACATCAAATACATACCTACCAACAAGTGAATCTAAAAATCAAGTGAATAAAAAAAATCTGAAGAACAGAATGGACTGGGACATAGAAAGGGAGTGGACTGACAATTCTCGGGGGGAAGAGGGTCTGAGGCTTGCGGGAAGAGACTGGACAAAAATCTTACACCTATGGATGAAGACTGGCAGGGCATAAGGGCATGGGTGGGGTGGGGATTCAGGTGGAGGGACGCTATGGGGGGGGGGAGAGGAACACCTATAATAATCTGAGCAATAAAGATTTATTATATAAAAAAAGAAAAAAAAAGTATGCAAGGATAGTATCTTAGATCAGAAACCTAAGGCTGGCTTTAAAATAGTTCAGCATCAGCCTAACCGATTTAGCTCAGTGGATAGAGTGCTGGCCTGGCCTGTGCACTCAAGGGTCCCAGATTCGATTCTGATCAAGGGCATGTACCTTGGTTGCAGGCACACCCCCAAGTAGAGGGCCTGCAGGAGGCAGCTGATCTATGTTTCTCTCTTGTCAATGTTTCTAACTCTCTATCCTTTCCTTCCTCTCTGTAAGAAAAAAAAAAAAAATCAATAATATATATATTAAAAAAAAAATAAAGTACCGTGTTTCCCCGAAAATAAGACATCCTCCAAAAATAAGACCTACTTACAGGTTTCCTTCTGAGTGAAATATAAGGCATCCCCCGAAAATAAGGCCCCCCTCGACTAAACATGAGAGATTTGGTCCACTGATTCTGAAAGAAATGGAGTCACAAGAAATTCACCAGGAAATTCAGGAATTGGATTGTTATGAAGATGTTCCAGAAGATGATGACATGATTGTCATTGAATAAATGAGTAAATTCTTGATACTGTAGGATTCACAGTTTGTCTGGTTTGTGTTGACAACTACCGTACTACCGTACTGTATACAGGTAATAAATTTCCTTTATTTTCATTTAACAATAAATGTGTACCGTATTCTTCTTCAGGGAAAAACAAGACATCCCCTGAAAATAAGACCTAGCACATCTTTGGGAGCAAAATTTAATATAAGACACTGTCTTATTTTTGGGGAAACAGGGTAGTTCAATATCCACAGCAAACAATAGGAATAGATGAAATGAATGTGGTAAAATCTTAAGTGTTGAATGTAGTTTGAACAGTTTCATAATAAAATAAGAAGAAAAATGTCAGGACTAGATAATTTTATAACTAAGTTCTGGCTAGACTTTAAAGATCTAGCTTTAAAATATTTCTAATATTATTTAAAAGGCTATGGTCTCAATTAAAAGATGAAGACTCCCCAATTCATTTTATTTATTTACTTATTCCTCACTCAAGGATATTTTTCCATTGATTTTTGGAGAGAGTAGAAGAGAAAGGAAAAGACAGAGAGAAACATCAGTTTGAGAGAAACACATCAATCGGCTGGCTCCTGTATGATCCCAGACCAGGGCCTGGGCCAGGTACATGCCCTTGGCTGGAATCAAACCTGGGACCCTTTGGTTTGCAGGCCGACACTCTATCCATTTAGTCAAACTGGCTAGGGCCCCAATTCATTTCATGAAGGTAACACAACTTGTAAACCTTTTTTGGTGAAGTATAATATGCATGATAAAACTTTACAGTTGTTGCTCTGGCTCGTTTTGCTCAGTGGGTAGAGCATTGGCCTGTGGACTTGAGAGTCACAGGTTTGATTCTGGTCAAGGGCATGCACCTTGGTTGCGGGCACATTCCTGGTAGTGGGTGTGCAAGAGGCAGCTGATAGATGTTTCTCTCTCATTGATGTTTCTGGTTCTCTATCCCTATCCCTTTATCTCTGTAAAAAAAATCAATAAAATATATTAAAAAAAAGAGATGAAATGAAAACCTCACATTAAATTAAAAAAAAACTTTAAAAAATCCTAATATAATCACACTTATACTTTTTTGGTAACAGTTTACAGTAACTTTACTTGGTAATATCATGGTGAAGTTATGCCTTTTACAAACTAATTGTAACAGACACTCTCGGTGCCTAACTCCCAGTCTCTTGTCCTTTCTTGCTTATTGGTGGGGCCCCAAATATGTTTGTGTCTTCATCTTTCCTCATGTAATTCAGGGATACATCCTGGCAAGGTTAGGCTGCTCATGGTGCTTTCATTTCCTTTGCCTCTTTGAAGGATCTGGGTTTGGTGTTCAGTTTTGGCCAAAGATGGGTGAGGGGCAGGTGCTGGATGGTTTCTGGGAAAGGTTCCCCTGCTCTTAGAAAGAGGCACAGGAGGAATGGCTCTTCTTTTCCCAAATGGATGTTGCTATGTATTTAGGGGATTATTGAGGTGGTAGCAGGCATTTTGCTAAGGAGGTACTTTATTGAGGAGCTGACTCATGAAGGATGGAAAGACAGAAAAACAAACAAATCCTGGCTTCCTTTGTTTTTTTTTTTTTTTTTTTAACTTAATTTTTATATTTATTTATTAATTTATTTTTAGAAAGAGGGGAAGGGAGAGGGATAGAGAGATTAGCTGCATGGTCCCTACTTGAAATTGAGCTGGCAACCTGGGTATGTGCCAGACTGGAAATCAAACAGGGGACCTCTTGGTTCATGGGTTGATGCTCAACCACTGAGTTATACCAACCAGGCAAACCTTGGCTTCTTGATGATGCTGTTGAGCCCCAGAGCAAACAACCCTAGAGCCAGTCTGTCCTATGGGCTGCTTCTTTTCTGCAATAATAACCTTTCCTTATTGTTTGAACCATTTGAGTAGAGTGAAGGGGATCAACGGGGGAAAAGGAACATCTGTAATACTTTCAACAATAAAGGTAAATGAAAACAAACAAACAAAAACAGTTTGAATTTTCATCCTGTAGGCAACAGAGAGGCTGGGACTTGTAAGCTAGAAAGGAATGAGCCGCAGAGCCTTGCACAGGGCACAGATACAAGCGTTCCCACTTGGTTAAATTAGTTTGGTGGCTGAATGTACCTTCCTCAGGTGCAGACCAGGCCTCCTTGCTTCTTCATCCACCCCTACAGCCCTAAGCATGACCATTGGCAGGGGGGAACCAACCTGGGAGACCAGCGTGTGTATGTGTGTGTGTGTGTGTGTGTGTGTGTGTGTGTGTGAGACTTCGTGTGTCTGTGTTCAGATGGAGGGGACTTTGCAGTCACACTCCACCTTCTTGCTGGGCTAGGTGTTAATTTCTTCTTTGTGCATATTTTCTGTCCAAATCGTCTCTGCTTCTTCATTCCATCCTCCTCCCACAAAGATAAGGGTCTGCACCCAAAACTGCCTAAGCCCTGCCTTCTTGAGCTGGGGCCAAGTTCTGTGCTGCCCAGAGCATGTGGCCAGGCCTGGCTGATTGAAGACCTGCCATCTATCCACACCCTGCAATTCTGCAATTGCAAAACAAGGCTTGGGGGGGGGGGGGGGGGTCTTGAGTCCTTTTATTAGGCATCTCCATTCTTCTTTCCCCTCAGAAGGCAAGTAACATCTCTGTGGAAGATGGGTGTCTACCGCATCCGTGTGTCCACTGGGTCTTCGCTCTTCGCGGGCTCCACCAACCAGGTACAGCTGTGGCTGGTGGGCCAGCACCGGGAAGCCGTGCTCCGGGAGCGTTTTCGGCCTATGCTGGGCAAGGTGAGCTGGCCCCCACCCGGACGACCTCACCTACCTGGGAAGAGACCTGCACTGGGAGGAGCGGGGCACACAGAGAGCGCCCTCTGGCTTCCTTGGGATGGAGAGGATCTCCTGCAGCCCTTCCTTCACAGGGTTCTCTCTTTTTGCGGAGATCCTGGAGGCACTGCATGTCTCTGGTTTCCTCTATTTTATTTGCAGAAGAGGGAGGGAGAGAGTGGGGGAGCGGGGAGGAAGAGAGGGAGGGGGGAGAGAGAGAGAGAGAGAGAGAGAGAGAGAGAGAGAGAGAGAGAGAGAGAGAGAGAGAGAGAGAGAGAGAAGGAAAAGAGAGAAGAGAAAGAGGGAGAGGAGAGGAGAGGAGAAAAAGAAAGAGAAGAGAGGAGAGGAGAAGAGAGAGAGAGGGAGAAAGAGAAAGAGGAGAGGAGAGGAGAGAAGAGGAGAAGAGAGGACCAGATTTTGTTCCATTTACTCATGCATGGTTGAGTCTTGTATGTGTCCTGACCCGGGTGAACCTGGAACTTTGGGGTGTCAGGTCATGCTCTAACCTACTGAGCTACCTGGCCAGGGACATTGCCTTTACCAGGAAACTCTATTTCAAACCTCTTCCACAGAGGTGGGGAGGAGGAGAGTAACTAAGGGCTGAATTTCCTGATCCCTTCCCCTCTCTCATCACATCTGCCGGTTCGGCCCGGGCTCCTGTTACTTTTCTTCCCCGTTTCCCATCCCCACTTTTCCGTCGCCCACCCCGCTCTTTCCAGGACCTCCAGATCCGGATGTCTGTCCCGCGGGTGCCTCAAAGGAACTTGCCCAAGCGAGGTCTCCCTTTCCCACCCCCACCCCTCTCCCCTTTCCTTCTCGGAGGTGTCAGGAGAGCATCCTGCTCTGTTCACCTGGAACCAAAAAACAAGCGCTGTCAATTCTGCCTCCTGGACATCTCTGGCTTCCGGGTCCGGATGCCCACCCACCCACGACCACCAGTGCCCCAGTGAACCTATGCCACCTTCAGCCTCTTCCTCAGCCTCCCCCTTCCTTTCTTGCCCTTCCAGCCCTTCTGCAGCCAGATCAATTTCATTCAAATACACCTCCAGCCTCATAAGACCTCCCCACAAACATCTGAATGGCTTCTGCTGGTTCTCAGCACCACCTTCTTGGCTTACCCTTGGAGACTGTTCAGGATCTAGTCATGCTCATCTCCCACGCGCTCTGTGCTGCACTCAGCCTCTGCGCTCTCGCTTCCTCTCCTTGGCACGCATTTCTCCAACCTTTCCTCTCTCTCACTTTCCCTGGCTAATCCCTTCACACCCAGAAGTCTCTGCTCTCACCCAGCGGAGGGGGCGCCAGGGTCTCTGGGCTGTAAGTGCCTGGTCAACAAGTATCTCCCTGCGCAATTGTGGGCTCGCCCGCGGTGGTGCCCACCTCAGTGCTGGGTTGGATCAATGACTGCGAGAAGGAAAGAGGAGGAAAGAGGAGGAGAAAGGGCAGGAAGGAGTGCTTCTTCCCTTTTCAGCCTCACCCCGGGCCGAAAATCTCCAAGACACATAATGGGGAGATGGGAACACCTTGGTCTGGGAGCCCCCTTTCTCTGTTTGACTTCTTTTGCTGTGCTTTCCCAGAGGCCCAACCTAAGGGCCAGGGAAGGGAGCTGGGCTCAGTCCCAATCCCCACTACAGGTGATGGCCATGGATGCTGAGCCTCTTGTGTTGCCTGCAGGAGACAGAGTTCCAGGAGGATGTGAAGGAATCCCTAGGGCCACTGCTGTTTGTGAAAATGCGCAAAAAGCAATTGCTACAGGATGACGCCTGGTTCTGCAACTGGATCTCCGTGCAGGGCCCTGGGGCCGCTGGGGAGGAGTACTGGTTCCCCTGCTACCGCTGGGTGGAGGGCAGTGGCATCCTGAGCCTCCCAGAGGGCACAGGTGAGCTCAGGGTGGGGTCTGAGGAGGCCTCTGGGGCCCAAAAAAAGCTAGGGTTGGGGGAGAGGAAAAGAGGGAACAGGGTGTGAGGGCAGGAACATGAGGGCTGGGTCTTTTTTCCTTTGGGAAGAGGTGGATTGCTGGAGTTGGCAGCAGGCTGGGGAGGGGTGTGATGCTAAATGGTCACCCCTCCCCCACAAGGGTGGGCTGAGAAGGCACCTCTGGCAGGGACAGGGGGAGGCTCTCAGGAGAAGCCTCATTGTCCATGCCCTTGTTTTTTCCTTCCCTCCTCCTCTAGGCCGCACTTTGGTAGAGGACCCTCAAGGCCTGTTCAAGAAACACAGAGAGGAGGAGCTGGAAGAGAGAAGGAAGCTGTACAAGTTAGCTTAACCTGCCCCTGACTCCCCCCCTCTCCACCCCCCAATCACTTGGCAGTGAGTCCTGGCCTTTCCTGGCATCAATGCCTGATTTCATTTCTGCACCACAGATGGGGTAACTGGAAGGATGGGTTAATCCTGAATGTGGCTGCGGACAATTTAGATGATCTCCCTCAAGATGAGAGGTTTCTGGAGGACAAGAGAATTGACTTTGAGTCTTCACTGGCCAAAGGGTGAGAACAGTGCGAGCTGAAGGAGAGGGAGGCATTCTGGCCCAGGCTTCTATGCACTGAACAGAGCTGGATTAGCCCAAGGGGGGTGCTTATAGTTATAACGTGTGATTTTGAGACTAACTTTCAAATGCTTCACCTATCCCTACCTGAAGGCTGGCCAAAATAGCTGTCAAAGACTCTTTAAATGTTCTTGTTCCCTGGAATGATCTGGATGACTTCAACAGGATCTTCTGGTATGACCACAGCAAGCTGGCTGGTCAGTATCCCTACCCAGTACTTCTCCCAGAACCCTCATCACCCAATCTAGTGAACCAGAGCTGAAAGGCCTGTGTTCTGGGTCCCTCTGGTGGACCGGGGGCAAGAGGGAATAGTTTGGTGGGGATTAGAAGAACCAGGGCACCAGATCTCACAACCTGCTCCACAACTGCCACCCTCAGAGAAGGTGCGGGATTCCTGGAAGGAGGATGCCTTATTTGGGTACCAGTTTCTCAATGGCGCCAACCCCATGCTGCTAAGGCGCTCCAGTAGCCTTCCTGCCCGCCTAGTGTTCCCTTCAGGGATGGAGGAGCTGCAGGCCCAGCTGGAGCAGGAGCTGAAGGTATGGACATGATGGCCCAAAGAAGGCCACACAGTGAACTGGAAGTGTGGGCTGTGTTCATGCTGCTTTAGGCCCCACTATGAGCCCAATTTGCCCCCAAATGCAAGAGGGGATTCTACAGAGGAAACCCTGAGTGATCCTGGAGGTGTGCAACCACATGGCCTTCCTCTCAACTGAGAAAAGCATATTGTGGAGGAAGAGTGTGAGATGGGTTATAGATGCAATCAAAATGAGGAAATAACTGGGCCTTGGTGCTAAGGATTTGGGGGAGTGTGTAGTAAGAGAATCAGATTGGGATGGGGGGCTTATTAGTCAGGAGTCAACACGGATCAATTGATGGGTTGGGCAGTCAAAATTCCTGGATTATAAGGTGAGACAGACTTCGGTTTGAATCCTGGTGTGCTGTTTACAAACTGTGTGACTTTAGGCAAGTTATCTATCTTATTTTATTATGTTTCCTTTTTTTTGTTGTTGTTGTAAAAAAACAACAACAAAAAACTATGGATTTAATTTAAGTGCTTGTAAGACTTATGTGAAGCAATAGCATATGATTCATTACCTGTTACAAAGTAGGTGATGGAGATAAATTAGTTTCCTTCTTGTTCTTCTTTCTTTGGGGAATCAGGGTGGGAAGTAAATGCCTTTTACTGATAGTCCTCACCCTCTGCCCCCATCCAGGGAGGCACGCTGTTTGAAGCTGACTTCTCCCTGCTGGATGGGATCAAGGCTAATGTCATCCTAGGTAGCCAGCAATACCTGGCTGCCCCTCTGGTCATGCTGAAACTGCAGCCTGATGGGAAACTCTTGCCCATGGTCATCCAGGTGAGACGACCTAGGATTTCTGCTCCCTGGTGGTTGGCCCTCTTACCTCAGTCCTTCACCCAAATTCATTAAGGATTCACTTGTGCTAAAGCACTGGAGGTGTCCATAAAGGATGCAATGGGCAAAGGCAGAAAGGTGGAGAGAGAGACTGGGAAAATCTAAATATGCTCCAGTATTGAGGAAGTACCTGAGGACGGAGATAGTATGGGAGAGGTCATGGGAGGTGCGTTTGGCATAGCTATGGCAAAGGAGCAGGACCTCTTCCCAGGGGAAGATGGGTTCGGTAGCGAGTCTCAGGCGTGCAGAATATGAGAAGTTAGATTGTCAATGGACAATTTGGCTTGTGTGCTGGTGGGTAATGTGAGGGCCCAGACTGTAGTGGGTGGTGGATACAAAATCAAGGAGTGTGAACATAGGAAACTGGTGTATGCTGTTGTGAACCATGTTATAGACACATTCTATGGGTCATTTTGTGTAGGATGGATTGGAGAAGTGAGTTGCTATTCCGGAGATAAGGGTGTCAGGCTACATCAATTGCCCAAGGTAGGGGTAATGGACTCAGTTTTTGGGAATAGCTGTGGGGATATAGAGGAAAGCTATATAGGCATACATAGGAAAATTAAACTGTCCTTGATTCAAGGAAAAAGAAAAGGAAGAGTTAGGCAAGACACCTGCAGAAATAAGACAAATAAAGATGAAAAGATGCTCAGGTGGGCTTTTGTCTGGGCAATTATGAGGGAGTTAGAGGTCTGATGCATGAACTTTGTTCAAGAGTAGGCTTCCCTCTGGAACCTGGAACCTGGGCTTCTCTTGTAGCCAGTTTCATCTGGAATGTCATCCGGAAGGATGTCTGGTCTAATTAGCATATTACGCTTTTATTATTATAGATGGTGAAACACTCCTCAAATTTTACATCTAGCTAGTGACTAGCTGATAACTGGAGACTTAACCTGTTTAATAGGGATGGTGTTGAAAGATTAGGGAGAAGCTGAAATTTCTGAAAAAGTGTGGGATAAAGGAAGCAGAGGGTTTGAATCTTCTCTACACGGAGGGGAGTGAAAGGGGAAGTGGGGCCCTGGAAGTTGGTAGAAAAGGAGCTTCTGCAGAAGGCCGGGCAGAGCAGCTTGGACAATGCTAATGCACTGAGTGGGTAGGAAAGTCAGGAGAAGGAATAGTGGCTACTGGGAGTAGCAGCAGTGAGATGGAGAAAGCTAAATAAATCTGGGAAGAAGGGAGGGGTTAAATATGCAAAGGAGGGGGATCTGCTGGGCACCTGGGCACTCATCCTCTTTTCCCCACACTGTATTCTTGCTCCAGCTCGAATTGCCACGCACGGGATCCCCACCACCAACACTTTTCCTGCCCACGGATCCCCCGATGGCCTGGCTCCTGGCTAAATGCTGGGTCCGCAGTTCTGACTTCCAGCTTCATGAGCTTCTCTCTCATCTTCTGAGGGCACATTTGATGGCTGAGGTTATTGCTATGGCCACCATGAGATGCCTTCCATCCATACACCCTATCTTCAAGGTAATACCTTATCACCTTCTCTCCTGCCTGCCTCTCTGCCCATGGCACAGTCCAACATCTGGAGGCACCCTTTCTGTGGAATCTCAGGGAGTGGGGAAAAGCCAACCAATGAGAGAGAAGGGAGCAAGAGAATGAGGTGGCTTGTTTTGCATTTTCAACAGGGTGACATCACCTCCGAAGGAGGTGGAAATGATTCATTGGCAAGGTGGGGGATGCAAGGGTGGGAGGTGACAATGTATGAAGAACTGTATATAGACAGTGCCCATAAATGATTGAGGATTCCATCTCAAAAGGGAAGACCAAGCAAATAACATAGAAGTCTTTTCCAGCCAGTTTTGACCTGTCCTAAAATAGTAATACACTGTCCAGTTAGACAGACTCAGGTCCACAACAGTGGTCTATTTTTTTTAAAGACAATTTGAACTAAGTATGTAGCCATTGAATTTTCTTATTAAATGCCTCCAATGGGGCAAGAACCATTCTAGATGATTGTGCTAAGCAAGACAGAGGTCCTTATCTTTTTCTTAAAAAAAAAAAAAAAAAAAAAAAAATATATATATATATATATATATATATATATATATATAATTGATTTTTTACAGAGAGTAAGAGAGAGGAATAGAGAGTTAGAAACATTGATGAGAGAGAAACATCCATCAATTGCCTCTTGCACACTCCCCACTGGGAATGTGCCCGCAACCAAGGTACATGCCCTTGACCAGAATTGAACCTGGGACCTTTCAGTCCGCAGGCCGAGGCTCTATCCACTGAGCCAAACCGGTTTCGGTGAGGTCCTGATATTTGTAGATTTTAATTTCCATTTTGAGCTACCAGCCAATAAATACTATATTATGACAGATCAGCTGTAACAAGCACAATGCAGAAAATCAAAGCAGAGCGATGTGATGCCGAGTTCGGACTGAGTGGCCAGGAAAGGCTCCCTTGTTGAGATGACATAGAGAATGAGGCTCTGAGGAGCCAGCCTTGAGATGATCAAGGTGCACATTGTTCTGGGCAGAGGGAACAGCTGAGAACAGTGCAGAGGTCCCAAGGCAGGAGCAAGTCTGGCATGTTTGAGGAATGGAAAGGAGGTGAGTGTAATGGATAAAAGGGAGAAGGGAGGAGAGGAAGGTCTGCAGGTAGGCAGGGTAGAGCATGCATTCCAATGGAGGCAATTAAACTTTTCACAGGAGGTGAAAGTGAGTCCAGAACTATGGAAAAGTTCTAGGGTGCAAAAACTTAGAATATTTTATGTATAAAGCACATATATACAGCTCTATCTTGTTTGGCTCAGTGGATAGAATGTTGGCCTACAGACTAAAGGGTTTCAGGTCAAGGGAACATACTGGGTAGTGGGCTCAATCCCCAGTAGTGGGTGGGCAGGAGGCAGCCAATCAATGATTCTTTCTCATCATTGATGCTTCTATCTCTCTCCATCCCCTTTCTCTCTGAAGTCAATGAAAAAATAAATAAAGGACACACACACACACACACACACACACACACACACACACAACATAACAGATATATTATATGCAGCATTAAAATTTCAATGGTTGAGGGGAGAGAAAACACTATCTGAAAAGGCTCTGTAGAGGAGTGATAATGAAAAAGATTGAGAAACATTGAACTACAAATTGAACAGTCTAATATGAAAAGGGAAGGAGAATTATTTCTTCCCATTATACAGCCATTATTCAATGGTTTGAGGAATGAATTATAATTTGACTGAACACTCTTGGTGTCGAGGGACCACTGAACTTCATGGCTCTGCTTTTCCTGAAGACCTGGCACCTTTCCTGTTCTTCACTTCCAATTTCCTGCGGGGACTTGCCACAGGTCTCTCCTGACTTGCTCTTCCTTGCTCTCTTCTTCCAGCTGATAATGCCCCACCTGCAATACACCCTGGAAATTAATGTGCGGGCCAGGACTGGGCTGGTTTCCGAAAATGGAGTTTTTGACATGGTATGAAGAGAGAATGGGGCTTCTAGAGCTCATGCTCCCTCTGGTTCTGGTGTCCAGCAGGTGGAGTTGCCTGACCCTGCCCATCCTTGCTTCTCAGGTGGTGAGCACTGGTGGGGGAGGCCACTTGGAGATGCTTAGGCGCGCTAGAGCCTTTTTAACCTATAGATCATTCTGTCCCCCTGATGATCTGGCTGACCGGGGGCTTCTGGGAGTCAAGTCTTCTTACTATGCTCAGGATGCTCTGAGGCTCTGGGAAATCATGTATCGGTGAGGCAACGGGAAGGCAGGGCTTGCGGGGAGGGTGGGCAGTCAGGGAGTGGCTTGAGAGACCAGGTGACCTGTGTTGGAGGGCTGGGTGCCCTGACCTGGCCATGTGGGCAAAGAGCAGAGGGCCTGGAGGCTCCCTGTGAGCTTCAGCTCTCTTGGCCTAACCCCTTGGCTGACAGCTATGTGGAGGGAATTGTGAGTCTTCACTTTAAGATGGACAACGCGGTGAAAAAGGATCTGGAACTGCAGACCTGGTGTCGTGAGATCACTGAAATTGGCCTGCGAGGGGCCCAGGACCAAGGTGAGTTGAGTCTGTTTCCTGAGTGTGGAAAATTCCTCTTGGGAACATCCCCAGAATCCGCCCTGCTTCTATGAAATTTCCCAGAAGCATGTCCAAGCCCTATTAAAATGCCTAATGGCCTTTTCAGGATCTTATGCAATAAGAATCCCTTTAGGTCCCAGATGCAGTGGGACCAGTAGTTGCTCATGAATACTTAACAACTGGCTCTCAGGAACAAAACAAAACAAAACAAAACAAAACAAAACAAAACATAAAAAGAGCCCTGATTTGTAGCATTTGCCCATTTCATGGTGTAAATATTTTCATCATAGCTCCTGTTGTGATGTCACCAGCTTGCTAAATACCCGAACATTTAACATAACAGACTCTTGTGGGCCAGTGTGTGCCAGTGTGAACCATACCAGTACCCTATTGAGTAGAGACCCCCCACCCCCACAGGAGATCTCTTGGTTTCTCCCACCACAACTCATGCTCATGTCAGTGTCCACAATAGTTCCTCAGAGATTTTGACACCCTTTTCTTTCTCTTGTATTCTCCCTGCTCAGCCTCTCTGAGCTCTGTTTCTGTTCCTGGCCTCCCAGCTTCTAACTGTCCTTACCTCTTGCAGGATTTCCCATGTCCTTAGAGTCCCGGGACCAACTTTGCTACTTTGTCACCATGTGCATCTTCACCTGCACTGGCCAGCACTCTTCCGTTCACCTGGGCCAGGTACTTGTTATAGGGAGGCATTGGGCATTTGCTCCTAGAGTGGTGGCAGGGAGGGGGCATTGGCTGTGTGCAGGTGGTTAAGGGGTTTTTATGGTTAGCAGACTGATTCTAGATATCTGCCTCTTCTTAGCTGGATTGGTATGCTTGGGTCCCTAATGCACCCTGCACCATGCGGCTGCCCCCACCGACCACCAAGGATGTGACCCTGGAGACGGTGATGGCGACACTGCCCAACTTTCATCAGGCTTCTCTCCAGATGTCCATGACTTGGCAACTGGGCAGACGTCAGCCCATTAGTGTGAGAGCCAGGTGGCCTGGTCCCTGAGGAAGGGAGCAGCTGTGGGGAGGTGTGGGGCTCCAAACTGGGGATCATAAGGCTCTCAGCTGCTTCTCTCTCCATCTCAGGTGCTTCTGGGCCAGCATGAGGAGGAGTACTTTTCAGGCCCTGAGCCCAAAGCTGCACTAAAGAAGTTCAGGGAGGAGCTGGCTGCCCTGGATAAGGAAATTGAGATCCGGAATGCAAAGCTGGACATGCCCTATGAGTACCTACGACCCAGCAGAGTGGAAAACAGTGTGGCCATATGAGCACTGTGGTTGTTTCAGCATCTTTTCCACCCAACTCCCAGCCACATCCCTTAGAGCTTTTAGTCTTCCTCTCCCCAAGCATGCCTCCTTCTATCTCCACCCTCCTTAGAGAATCACCTTTTCTCTGTGTCTGTACACAGTGAACATATTTTACTCTAGACTCACCACCTAGGGGGCTCATTTCTCCCTTATCCCTCCCACTTTTCCTATTGTCCTCCCCTCTTCCCTCATCACTGGGTTCTCCCAAAGGTAATAATCACACTTATATAACTGTTTCTTTGGACTAGGGCAATAATATATATTACTCCACATGTTTATATATTTTTTTTCAAATTTAATAAATCTTTATTGTTCAGATCACTACTATTGTTTCTCCTTTTGTTCCCCCATAGCTCCATTCCACCCTGTTCCCACCCCACCCTGTGCCCTAACCTCCCCACCATTGTCCTCATCCATAGATGTACGATTTTAATCCAGTCTCTTCCTGCACCCCCACACTCCTATCCCCCTGATAATTATCAATCCACTCCCTTTCTTTGTCCCTGATTCTATTATATTCACCAGTTTATTCTGTTCCTCAGATGTTTAATTCACTTGATTTTTAGATTCACTTTGTTGATATATATGTATTTGTTGATCATAATTTTTTATATTTTTTCTTTTTCCTCTTCTTAAAGAATACCTTTCATTGTTTCATATAATACTTGTTTGGTGTTGATGGACTCCTTTAGCTTTTTCTTATCTGTGAAGCTCTTTATCTGTCATTCAATTCTGAATGATAACTTTGCTGGGTAGAGTAATCTTGGTTGTAGGTTCTTGTCATGCATCACTTTGAATATTTATTGCCACTCCCGTCTGGCCTGCATAGTTTCTGTTGAGAAGTCAGCTGATAGTCATATGGGTGCTCCCATATAGGTAACTAACTGTTTTTCTCTTGCTGCTTTCAAGATTATCTCTTTGTCTTTTGCTCTTGGCATTTTAATTATGATATGTCTTGGTGTGGTCCTCTTTGGATTCCTTTTGTTTGGGGTTCTGTCTGCTTCCTGGACTTGTAAGTCTATTTCTTTCACCAGGTGGGGGAAGTTTTCTGATATTATTTCTTCAAATAGGTTTTCAGTATCTTGCACTCTCTCTTCTTCTGACACCCCCATAATTCTCATGTTGGTATGCTTGAAGTTGTCCCAGAGGCTCCTTACACTATCTTCAACTTTCTGGATTCTCTTCTCTTCTTGCTTCTTTGAAGGAGTGTCCTTTGCCTCTTTGTATTTCAAATCTTTGACTTGATTCTTGTGTTCCTCTAGTCTGCTATTGGGTTTCTGTATAATATTTTTTATTTCAGTCAGTGGATGTCTAATTTCTGGTTGGTCTTTTTTCATATCCTCGAGGGTCTTGTTAAATTTATTGGCCTTTTCTAGGAAATTCTTGAAAAACCTTATAACTGTGGTTTTAAACTCTATATCCAGTCTTTTGTTCTACATTTCTTTTGTTTGAGATTTCCTTGTCTCGGCATTTTTGCTGCTTCCCAGAGTTGGTAGGATGTCTTTGTGTGTTTGGTGTCCTATATGGCTCAGGGGGTCAGCCTCCCCAGTTACTTGAGGTAGACACTCTTGGTGCTCCCCTTTATGGACTGCGTGTACAGCTCTGTTGTAGTTAAGTCTTGATTATTGTTGGTATCACTGGGAGGAATTGACTTCCAGGCCAGTTGGATGTGAGTATTAGCTTTGTCTACACCAGGATAACTTCTGTATTGGAGACAGTCTTATAGGATAAGACTTGCAAAATTGCAAAAGCCTCTGTGCTTAGCTTGGATGGGGCGGAGTCTCAGGGCTGAGCCAATAGTCTTGGCTTCCAGTCAGTCCTGACCTTGTGCACACGCCTCAGACCTCTGCCTTCCCTGGCTCCCCTGAGTTTCTGCCTGACAGTCCAGACTCCCCCTGTAAGAGCCTGGGTGCCCCCAGGGCTCAGCTGGAATTGGGTTGGGTCTCTGTAGTCTGGAGCTTTTGACTCCTTCTGCTATGGAGAGGCCACGGCATCCTCCGTGGTCAGACCTCTTTGCGAGCACTCACTTGAGCATGACTGTAGACCCTGCTGGCTGCAGCTCCTGGCTCCCCCAAGTCTCCCAGTCTCTGAGTTTCCGGGTACCTTTCTCTACAGTTCAAATTCCACCCATGTGAGCCTGGGTTTATGGGGTTTCAGCCTGGTTTGGGTCTGGATTTCAGTGCAGCCTGGGGCTTCCTTTCCCCTCCTGCCAGCCAGGCACTTGGCCGCCCTTCCTCTCTGCTCGTGAGTGTCTCCCTACTTCAGCACTTTGCGGGCTCCCCTGATTTATGAGCCTCTCTCCTTCTTTCTAGTTGCAGATTTTTCCACTCAGCCAGCTTTCCTGTGGTTTTGGATAATGTCCGTTCTGTCTTTAAGTTGTTGTTTTGAAATTGTTGTGCAATGTGGCAGCTTAGGTACTTACCTAGGCCGCCATCTTGGTTTCACTCTACATGTTTATAATTTTGAGTTTAACAATAAAAAAGATACTTTAGATTAATGAAAGAAAAGAAATTAGATAAAACTATCCTAAACTAAACACTGGCCAAAGAGTATATAGCATGTCATTTTAACTCGGTGAGATTTAACATGTCCTGAAGCCAGAGACAACACAGGGCAGACCATTGACAGGGCAATTGTCACTTTGTGGCTCACTTAGAAAATGATACGGGGAAGTAAAGTGGTTAAATGAAGAAGCTGCTCCCAGCTGGAGGGATTTGGCATTGGGGCTTCAGGCTGAGGAGTCCATACTTATAACCCATTTGCAGTTCTCTAGCTGGGAGGCTCCAAATAAAAATAATAAACTGGAAAGATAGTAAAAATTTCACGGTGATTTTAATGAATAACAACAAAGGAATTAACAAATCCCAACTTCTGTATCTTATTAAATTTTGAAAAAATAAACTTGGACTTTCTCCCCCTCCCCCCCCCCCCCCAGTGATTTTAATTTTGTTTCTCAGAGGACTGAGATCCAGGATTCTCCTGGGTAAGACTCACTCTTTCCTCTCATTGTCCCAATACACACACACACACACACACACACACACACTGGATCAAATGACTCTGGGTGAAATAGAAGAAAAGAAGACACAGAGGAGGTGATGATAGAAAGAAAAAGGAGGTTGGAAGCACTTATGACTTGTGATAGTCCTCCCCTACTTTGTAACTATGCCCCCTCATAAGAAGCACTTGCTGCGTAACCCATTGTGGAGGCAGGGGAGAGACAGGCTCTAACTCCACAATGACTCACCCAGGATCAAGAAGAGGTAGAAATGAGGGTTTGAGTCTGAGCCTAGGTCTGTCTCCTCAAATCTAGGACCCTGGCTGCAGCCAGACCTTCTAGGGGCTATGGAGAGGGTGTGTTGGTGTCATTGTGTATAGTGTTGGCATTCCATGGAGAAGGTGGGTGAGTAATTAGCAGCCCACAGGACTATCTATAGCTGTTATTAGGTGAGGGGAGTTGGGGGCAATCTCAGGATGTGAGGTCACTTCCTAATAGAACTCTGAACCCCCATAACCAGGCACCCACTTTCCAGCAACAGCCCAACTGCCACTCACTTGGCAAAAGACGGTTGACAGTTCAACATGTTCTCTTGTTGCGTTCCCAGTTATCGGGGCTCTGGTTCCCGGAGACCCTGCAGTGAGAGTTGTTCCAGACTCTGTAGACAGTTCAACATTCGTGCCCGACACCTCTGGCCGTTTTCAAGAAGATCCCGTCGGGTAAGAGAAGGTGGCCTGGGCCATTCATGCCAGACCAGCCTCCTCTGTGGGCCATCCCTCTGCAGCCCACATGCCTTCCCTTCATGTGGTGGGAAGAGGACCTGAAGGGAGAACCCTGGGGCAGGAACAGCTTTTGGGGCAGCAGATAACCTGGAGGTCCTGCTGTGATAACACTTCAGGGCAGGGTAAGTAGTTGGAGATGGGCTTCCAGAGGGGTCCCTTATCTGTGCCAATGGGAGTCCTAGCCCTCAGGCTGTCACTCATTTTCTTCACCAGTAGAGGTCATAGCAGATCACACTGTGTGTGTGTATGGAGTGGAGGGTCATAGGGTTTAGAGAACTTACAAAAACCAGCTCTGAGGCTTTCCCCTGGTGACTGGGAACTATCTTTATAGAGTTCCACACAGGAGAACAGAGAAGGGCTAACAGATGGGGTCCTCAACTCCATGTCCCTGCAGGAGGGACAGGTGCCCCATCCATCCTCTAGTGTGCAGCACGGCCACAGGGTGAGTATAAGTGCCCAGTTGACCCAAATGCCAGAACCCCAGGGATGCACTAGGACTCAGGTTCCAGAAGGTACCCTGCTACTCCCCTGAGATCCCTCCAAGCATCCAGTTTCCAAAGGAATCTGGGTCCCTATCTCCTCCAGGTCAGGAGCTGGGGCCTCCCTGGGCTGCACATAGTACCAGGATGGGGAATGTTATCACGGCGATCCATGTCTTCATTACTGTGGGACCTGGACCTTATCCCCTTCTATTGCCATGACAACAGTGCCACCCTGTACACACCACATGTCCTAATATCCAGACCCTCCACACCAGGAAAAGCCTCTGTGTCTCATCTTACATTGGGATGTTTTGTCAGAAACCACACGGTGACACTGTTAATAAAGCATGTGCTGTCTGTCCCTTACTAAGAAAATGACCTAAGATACTGAAGTGTTTCATATTCCTCACCTCCAATTCGACTTTTCCTGCCAAGAACCTTTTCCCTTATCAATATGAAAAACTTTCAAAGCTGTGAAAAAGTTTTGTGTGTTTATTTGAACCAAAGTGTCGACAATGCGGGCGAGCAAAATCTCAATGGGTTGAGAGGATGCACGGGAGAATGACCATTTTGCGCCTTATGTTATAAATTACAAGCAAAGTGCAGATTTATATGTGTCACATGAAATCCATGGGTGATAGATTAGGGAGAGAGGAGAAAGCAAAGTGTGGAAACTTCAGTGATTGGATAAACGGTAAAATGATAGGCACATACTTCTTTTCCATTGGTGGATGTAGGATAGTTTCAAGTCACAATGAACTCAATAACAAGGAAGGGATTGGTGATCTCCACAGAGCACAGAGTGGTGCCTGTGCTTGAATTGTACAAAATTAAGAAAAAAAATTTCTTTGATAATCCAAAGCTATGTTATCATAGATACAAAAAGGCAGTACACAGGCTCAGTTAAGGTAAAGATTGCCCTTTGTTAGGGAAGATGCCAGACTATGACATGACTGCCCACCATGAGCGCCTTTTAGTTAGGGTTTT